TAGGAGTTGGAATGACTCCTTCGAGGGACCAAAAACAATACTTTCCGCATACTCCTTTGTTTGCCAGGCCTTACCGTATAAGCATTGCAATCCCCACTTATGATTCATCTTTTCCCTTATTTCTTTAGGTCTCAATGGTGTTACATTATTTTCTTGCAACCTGGAGGACATAAGTTCACCAATTAACCTTGCACTCGTTGTTCAGTATCCACTTTGCAAACCATCAACGGTATAGTATGTACCTTGTGGAACATGCGAGCTTGCCAATAATCTCCGTTAGGCAACTTTGTTGCATGCACAACAAACTTGCATGCATTGTCTTTACAAGCAACCTCAAAATGAGTATGACATAACTTTTTAACTCTAATCTTAAAATGCGTTTTTAATGTTAACATGTTCAAAACTTATCTCAATTTGGCCTTAAAAGGAAACACTTTTCCTCAAGATAAGCAGTCATCGATTGATTTGGATTTCTCGGTGGCAACTGTTTGGAAGGAGATCATATCTACATTCGGAATAATCCATTGATGAGATACCCTTGTATTTACCTTTTCTTGATCATTGTAATCGGGTGAACGAATCTCTTTGTTACCAACGATGGGGTTGTTGTAAATAAGGTCATCGTATTAAATATCTTCTAAGACAATAGTTATGGCATGTTTTGTACCTTTATCCACATGATTGCAATCTAAAATGTCATTATCGTCACCCCTATCCTCTTTTAAACAATCTTATGCCTACCAAAATAATCATCCATTATCATCACTCATGGCAGTCACAATGTCGTTTAAGAATAGCAATGAACCCACTACAGTCTCGAATGATGGATGCATTTGTTGGCAAGAACAAAGTATTTAGTTCGATACACATGCTGATCGGAATTATGCAAATAGCATTTGTTGACCCTTAATGTGTGTGTTGGGCTACTGAAACTCATGTGCATGCGTCGATGGTGATTGCCATTGTTGTCTGTTAGGGACTGTATGGTGTGATTTGTGTGAAGTAATGTCAATCTGATTTAGGTGATTACTATGTTGGACAGTTTGTTCATATGATCGTTCCTTAACAGTTACAAACATTACAACACCTTTTTCATCTTGTAGAATACTTGCTAAATCTTCATTGTCTTTGATAACTGGGTGTAAAACCCTATGACATGATTGAGCAATATATGTAACTTGATTTTTTGATTTTGTGAATTTACCCTAACAATATCTTCAACTAGTTTCTTTAGGCCCGAAAATGACAAATCACTATTAACACCCCTCACTTGTGTCTCACTAACTTTGTAAGCGTCATTGATCCAATGACCACTGTATATAATCATAAGTTTCATATTTGGCATGCCGTTAAAATTTAATAGAAAATAAGTGTTATAATCAATTTATCAAAAATGAAAAAATATGTCACGTAATGCCTAAAAACAAGTCACAAATGCCTAAAACCCAATCATGCAATGTCTAAAAATTAGTTATGCAATGCCTAATAATGAATTGATATGCTTGCTTGCAGCTAGGTTTAAATTACCAAAGTCATACAGTTTTCTAGTTTACAAATATGTCTAATCAATTTCAATCCTTCAACTTTGGGGTTCTATGAATATGAACTAATAAACCTAAGAACTCAAACCACACACCTTGATGTCATCTTTGCTATTTGAGATTGCGAGAGAGAGCTAGATGATGAGGTAGACAGCATTTGACAAGAGAGAGAAATTGAGATTTAATTTCAAAATTTTGTTTGAATGACAGAATAGAGAAAACTGAGACGATTTAATTTGTTTGAAATTATTTAAAAGGCATTATTGTCAAGTCATGCCAAAATTGGATAAAAACAATTAAAATTATAATGAGGAGCATTTTTAAATTGAGTTTATGAGGAGGGTTATTTTTAACAATTTCTTCTTTGAAAAATCTAATCGGAACATTCTCTCTGTCATTTCTCATTAACCCACCAATACCAACATCACTTGAGCTTCCATTAGCAGCCCCATCTATATTAAACTTAACCTCACTAAACTCTAGTCTAACTCATTTTGTATCACGTCTTGACATCTTCTCTTTACTCACAATATTTTTAGCTTTGGGTTGCCTGTATGCATCAAAAGCCCAAGACAAAATCTTGTGGTCATTTAGCGTTCACCAACATTGCCACCTTTAACTTAATGATTTCCAATTATCCTACTCTTTGTTTTTAAATATCACTTCATTTCTATTAATTTAAGTAATCCATGTAATTGCAAAGTGTGCAATTTTTTTCATTATTTTTGGATGTTTATGGCCTACCCTTTTGATTATACACTTTAAAAAGACCAAGGCGAGGGTCATTTTGGTCACATCTCCTTCATGCTAAAACTACATTCCTTTGAACGTCTTTAAAACATGTTGTGTCTTCACCTCATTTCTCGGTCTCCAATATCATTGGTGAATTCCTCCGGGGACTATCTTGTAGGGATTGACACTAAGGGTTGATAGGGTACCAAACTTAGTCTTGTCATCAGACAAAACTCCTTCTTTGAGAACCGGGTCTTCATTTTGCCTATAGCAAACCATAACTCATCCTCGATGGCGCCAGGCTCATTAATTTTGCACAGCATTAGGTTGTGCACGAGACTGATGCAGAATAAACTCTTTTTAGATTCAACATCTATCATATGCTTAAAGCATATTCTCTTCAAGGCTTCCAACTCATTTACTTTGCGCAGCATTTCACGTATCACATGCAAATATGACCACTTACAGTAAATGTTAATGCCGGTATTGAACCCTCATCGGTGCCTCAGCACACAAAGCAAAGATTCCACATTATCCTACTCTGCTCCTATGCTGGCCATTTGCAACATACAATAGATAACATTTCCATTTCAGTTAATATGATCATTGTAGATTAAAAAAACAAAAGGAAATTCTAAGAAATAGCCATCGTCATAAGCTCATTCCAAAAATAACCCTCACGATAATTTTAACTATTTTTAGACAATTCTGAAATAGAATAATTAATGCATGTGTCGAGCATGGATTATTAAGTAAATCAACATATACATATTAAAGCATTATAGTTGACCTAAAATAATACAGAATGAACACAATGTTAGTCATGCAATGCCACGTAGATAAATTTCATGCAGTTATCACACATCAATTTCAGACCTGAAATAGACACACGTCAACTGCATGTGTCGAGCATGGATTATTAAGTAAATCAACATATATATATTAAAGCAATATAGTTGACCTAAAATAATACAGAATGAACGTAATGTTAGTCATGCAATGCCACATAGATAAATTTCATGCAGTTATCACACGTCAATTTCATACAAGAAATAATCATGTAATGCCTTATCAATAAGTCACACAATGATTTTTGAACAAGTCGTACAATACTAAGAATAACTAAACCTATCACGCACACACTAAGCATAGCACACTTAAACCATATTCATGCAATGACTTATCAACCAGTCACGTAATGACATATCAACTAGTCATGTAATGTTCAACCCTAAATGCAGTGCCTAATGCAATCACGCACACCCTAAGTGACGCCATGCCAAAATCCAGTCATGCATAAGGTGTCAACTACGTATGCAAGCCCTTAGTCACGCAATACCTAAACCCTAAACCAGTTCCTATCAAACGGTGATAATACGTACATATCAACCAGTCATGCATGCTCTGTCACCTTTTTGACCTCAAAAGCACCTACAATACCAACTTCATGTTTATATTCGACAATTTTAAATAACAAGAATATCAATATGAATAAGCAATATGCATACATTTATGCTCAGAAACTATAAATGGAAAACATGAAGAATAATAATAGCCCTAAAAACATTTGTCTACATGGTTCAAAGTAAAATAAAAATATATTATATCTCTTTTCGCGTAATGTGAACTTCCTTTCATTATTCAATATGTGAACTACCCTTTTGCGAATAATAATCACTCAAAAATACTTCTACCATTGTGAAAAATGCTTGAAAGTTGAACTGGTGAGAAATGCTTTCGACAGTATTCTTTGTATGGAGATGTATGGTCTGTCGATGAGAACTGAGGAGTTACACATCTTGTAAACATACTTTACCCGTTAATAGGTTTCGGTTTGAGGCACGGAGCCAAATAAATGAGTTGGTTTCATCAAGGATAATTTTATCTTAATTTTAATTCTCTTAATTAAAAACAGTTAAAATTATGAAGAAATCTATTTTTAGAAATACCTTATATATGGGACCCATTTATAAAAAGAAATTTTAAAAACTTATTTAGCAAATTTATGATGCTGATACAAAAAGTACATGTACCTTTGAGTTAGTTTTCGTTAGTTTCAAATAAATAAACACGTAATAAGTTTACTTGTTACTATTTTTTAAAAAATAATACTCAAAATGTTAATTTTGTAACAAGAATTGTTAATTATTTTTGTTATTTATTTTTTATTTAAAAAATAAATTCAACTTAGTAAAATCAAGACATAATACTTTAGAAAGCTCATAAATCATTTTAAAAAATTCAAATAAATTTATGTATTTTTATTTTGAGGTAAATATATTTTTATGATTAACGATTGATTAACTGTCATAAATCAAAATATCATTTATCATTTTCATATGGCGTGAATGTTGTAAAATGACATGTAATATCATGTCATTATATCACAATAAAAGCATACAATGTCAATATATATTATAATATGTTAGTATATATATAAAAATAATAAGTAAATTATTAGTAATAAAGATTTATTTAATTTAAAATAATAAAAATTTATTAGAATTTTTGTGAATAGTTTGGGTTTTGTTTTAGATGTTATACTTAAAACCAATTATTTAAGTGTTTAAATTAAGATGAAAAAAAAAAAACTTTAGGGCAGAATCACCTAACCTAAGAAATAAAAAAAAGAAGGAAAGAAGAATTGACTTGATCTTTTTTCGTTTTTTCAACCACTTAACTTTGACGTTTAAAAGTCGTAGTTTGTTTTTCCATATGCACATTGGCCACTTTGAAGTCGCAGTCGCTTCTCCGCTCTTTCCCTGGAAAGGCTTCAACCTCATCCATCCCCCGTTACTCTGAGCAAAAATCCCCCGCCTCTTCAACGCTTTCTTCTTTGCTTCCAGGGTCAAGTTAACTAAGCTTATACAGAAATTTAAAGACCATAAAATGGAGCAACGGATGGCTGGCCTGGGTGCAGGAACCATTTAGTGGCTGCTTTCGTTCATCCAATCCTTATGCTGAAGCAAACAGGACAGAAATGGTGTTCAAAAACAAGCTCTTCTTTTCCTCTTCAAAGAAATCGGATTCTGATGGATCCAATAGCCCTCGATCCACTTCCAATTCCCCGATCCGATCCGACAAGAAAAAACCCAAAGCTTCAACCTCGAAGCCTGACTCCCAGCAGATCCCCAATTCCACCTCCCCTTTCAGTCCCGTAGCTTGCAAGAAAACCCAAGTCAAAGATGGACTCAGACGCTTGGACCTCAAAGCCAAAGAACCCCAACCCCAAACCCCAAGTGCCAAGCCCTCTTCTTCTACCCCCAAGAAGCCCGATGCCAAGGACGGGCCCTCCTCTGTGTCGCCGATTCTGGCCTCTTCCTTGGGGTTGAATCGGATAAAAACCCGGTCCGGCCCCTTGCCGCAGGAGAGCTTTTTCAGTTTCAGAGGGGAGAAAAGTGCGGCGGCTTCTGTGCTTGGAGCTAGTAACTTGTCCAGGCCCGGAGGTTCAAGGAGCGTTGCTGGCGATGGTAGTTCGGGGAAATCGGGTTCTGGGAAGAAAGACAGTTTGAATCAGAGGTTGTTGCAAGAGAGTTTGCTTGATAATGCGAGCAATTCGGATAGTATGTCGACTGGGAGTGGTGGTGGTGGGTGGCACTCAAGAGAACAGAGCCCTAGTGTGCAAGGGAAGTCTCGGTTGCAGAATGGGGAATCATCCTCCGAAGCTGGTACTGCTCTTACTTTGATTTATTACTGTTTCTTGTATAATTGTTATTGTTTCGATTATGCCATTGATGATTTTAATGGCAGAGCTGTTGCTTTATAGTAATAGATTCTTATTTTTGGTTACCCTTTATTCTGGGACTTGATTTTGGATTTCCCTGTTCAATGACTAGTTGGTGGATAGAATGCTGGAAACATTTCGTTATGCCACATCAATTGTTTAGCTCTGAGCTGTTCTTGCATTGATCTAATAGGTGTAGCTAGGAGGCGAGGCAGAATAAAAAGGAAGCTTAACTTTAACACAGGCATAATGCATATTTATTGAGCCTTATTAAACTTTGTAAGAGGCATGAGGTTTAAGAATTTTACTCTCTAGCACAGATCAAATTGCTAAAAGCAAATAATGTGAAGTTCTAAACCGCCATCTCTCTCTCCTGTCCTCTTTTTGGCATTGGGAAGAGAGGGGGGATTTGTGTGGTTTGAGACATTAAAGGTGCTTTCAAGTGGGTTATCCTTTCCACAGGGTTTGATAGTAGTCTCTGATCTGACATACAATATGTGGTGATAAAGGACACCGAGTGGATCAGATTATAAGATTTACTTTTACCATACTTGTGCATTATTCTTGGACAATTAGCAGTTGGTGTGTTGCAGAGAGTTGGAGTTTAAATATTGGGTAAATAACCCCCACCCTTTTAGGGTTTGACCATAATTCACTTGGGGTCCATTAGTTTTGGAAATGGACACTCTGCCTTAGACCCCCAAACACTGTTAATGGATTTTATAAAATGATTAAAATGCCATATCTCTATTCTTTCGCTTGCCTTCACGTGATTTTGAGCTTGCAGTCTGACAGCTGCTCCCCTAGCTGTCATGTACTGCTTGCTCCTATCTCATCTCAATCTTTCTTTCTACATGAAAACAGACCTTTGATTCTTGTATATCACTTACAGATAAGTTGACATTTCATTCACCCAGAGAATCATTGAAATATAATTAAAGCTCTTGCCGAAAAAAAAGAAAAGGCAACTATTGCTATACAAGAAACACTCTCTTATCTATGCTCAGATTTAGTAAGTGCAGGATAATATATTAGGTGAGCAAATTAGAGTTCCGGGTTTACATGATTAATGAAATAGGCAGGATGGTTTTGTAGTGCCAAAAGGAACTGTTCTGACTAAGATAACAGAGCTACCTGAAAGGGGAAAAAGTTTGCTCCACTAGTATAAACAATGAACTGCAACCAATGGCGATACAATTCCAACAATGAAAAAGCTAAGGAACACTTTCGCTATTGTTTCTCATCCCTCCTTGGTCTCAGATAGTGAATAAGATTTAGAAAGCATGTTAGAGAGCTTGGCTTGAAGAGCAAATCGATCCCTTGGTATTTATTTTTGTCACCTAACCATAATGATGTTATTGCAATTGTTGCTCCACCTCCTATGAAACCTCCTCCTCTGCCACCTCTAATTATCACCTGGAAAACAGCGTCTCATGTCTGTGGCATATCACTTACAGATAATGTTGTTGAGATCATTTTCCATGTGTTTGACTCCAATCGTGATGGGCATTCAACTGCAGATGAGTTTTTTAGAGTTTCACTTAAAACAGAAAGGGATGTTCCTCAACCTGTAAAGTCAGGAATCTTGGGACTCTTATCTTGTTGCTGGAACTGTTCTAATAATATCTCCATTTGGCGGGTGATCTCATAATCTATCTCCCCATATAGGATTTCCATCAATTGAGCAGCTTCTGATATCTTTCTGAAAGGTTGAACCTGTTATCATTGAACTTCCATTGCAGCTATGGAATGTTCTTGTGAGTGGAAGCTGGGAAAATGGCTGTTGGTCAACTTATCCAGACAAGAGAGAAAGAGGAGGTAACACCACTAGAGGAGTCCATGGTGGCAACAGACTGGACAAGTTTCCTCTGGTGCTCATAAGTGGAAGCAGCAGAACCTACAAGCTCTCTCTACAATGGTGACAGATTGGACAAGTTTCCTTTGGATCTCGTAGAGTGGGTTAGGACCCAAACATTTTTCAATAATTTTGACTGAAATTTTGTTCCGAGGAACTTTTATATTTAGGCCTCTTATTAAAAAAGAGTGGAAGTAGCAGAACCTTCAAGCTAGGGGAGTTAGGGAGAGAGAGACTGAGAGACCAAGTTTTTGCTTTTGCCTGGTTATTGAGTTAGAGAGTGATTTCACTCAGTGTGATTCTGATTACCAGTTGTTTCTTTGATGCTAGAAGGGTAAAATGGGTATAAATTCATGCCACATCATTAAGTAAATGGAAACTCAAATGGTGGAGTATGACAAGATTTATGTGTCCTGCAACATATTATTTTGGGGTGAAGTATCCATTTTCAATACTAATGGACCCAAAGTGAATTATGATCAAACCCAAAGTGAGTGGGGTTAATTTATCCTTAAATGTTTTATGTAATGAAAATATCTATATTCAAGTTTTTGTTAATTATATTTAAAAAAAATCAAAATTGTGCTATTAGGTGCAGCTGATGGATTCAAAATGGAAAGGCATGTGATTTCAAAAATTATTTCTGTGAAGTATCATTTTGCTCATCAGTTGATACTCAGATATTTGCTGAGGGAAACAGTTCTTTAAATTTGAAAATCAATTTGTGAAAATGCATGGTATGGTCAGTTCTGATCACACTGGGTAGACATATCATGTTGAATGAAGAAATGTAGTACCTATCGTCCTATTGATTGAATTTTTAGATTTTTTTGGACTCTGATAGGCCTTTTAACTTTGTCTCTGCTTGCTGCGTCTAAACAGGAGTTTCTCTAAGATTTCATATTTGTCTTGAATTCTGGACAAATCATCTTGAAAAGAGAAAAGCTCAAAAAGTAGAAAGGCCAATTGTGGATGGGTGATTCGTAGAAGTAAAGATGAGGGATGAGTGATAAAAGTTTGGAGAACCATGGTTGTTTACCACAGATGCCGATATGCTTGTGATGCTTATTATTCTGTAGCTTAACATGGCATATTTTTTTCTTTTCTTTTGCTGGTTTCCCCCCCTTTTTTTTTCCAGGTTTATGTATGTTTGGTAACCAAACTGTTTCGAAGAAGGTGATAAAATTTTTGAGGATATGAGTAGTAATTTTTCTTTTTCTCTTATTGCTTTTTCCTAATTGTTAGATATTAGGAATGCTATTCATGCTTCTTATGTAAAATACTTTTTTGAGTATTTACTGTCACAGCCCCATCATAGCTTTTCTGAACTAAGTGTGGACTCTGAAATGATCTATAAAGTTGTGGCTGCTAAGCTTAGAACTTGGTTTAAAAAGTGTCAAGGCTATTCTATTTACCATCTTCTTCGTTCCTAATGTCGTAAACAAAGATCGCACTGCTTTACATTTGAATTGCATGTCTGATGTTGATATAGGATGCTAATACATTTGTTTGAGCTGCAAAATTTCTCTCCAATTCTCCATCCTTTCTGTTTTAACTAGGACAGAATTGTCTATTTTAGAAGACTTGTAGGGTATAAACTACTTTTTTTTTTTTGGAATTCTGGTTAATTTGGAAATGGTTTCATTTCCTGAAGGCTTGCTGGCTGTTGTTATGTTTTTTCTCTCAAAAGTTGCTTTGCTTCCTTGAATACTGTTACCAGGGCAAAATGAGTCATCATGGGGCCGTTCTGGAGGCTTAAAAAGTTCAGATTTTTGTACGCCAGAGGTACAATAGTATTTTCATTGATCTTCTCCTAGCTGTTAATTATTACTTCGTAACTGCCCTTTATTGGCGTTTTTGGCATTTAACTTGTGCTGGTGTTATTGATTATATGAATATTTGCCTTCCCAGACTTCATATGATTGTGAAAATCCAAAGGAGTCTGAATCACCACGTTTCCAAGCTATTCTTCGTGTTACAAGTGGGCCTCGAAAGAGGTTTCCTGCTGATATTAAGAGCTTTTCCCATGAATTAAATTCCAAAGGTGTACGACCCTTTCCACTTTGGAAACCTCGACGATTAAACAACTTGGAGGTACTTTAATCCTATATCTTGTGACCTATTTTCTTGTTGTTATGTGTTCCTAATTAGATTTCTGTTTTATGAAGGAGATCTTGGTTGTGATTCGTGGAAAATTTGACAAAGCAAAGGAGGAAGTGAATGCTGATCTGGCTATTTTTGCCGCAGATCTTGTTGGAATTCTTGAAAAAAATGCTGAAAGTCATCCTGAGTGGCAGGAAACTATTGAGGATTTGCTGGTTCTGGCTCGAAGCTGTGCTATGACACCACCTGGAGAGTTTTGGCTTCAGTGTGAAGGTATTGTTCAGGAGTTAGATGATAAGCGTCAAGAACTTCCTCCAGGCACGCTTAAGCAGCTTTATACCCGAATGCTTTTCATTCTCACAAGGTGTACAAGATTGTTGCAGTTCCACAAAGAAAGTGGGTTGGCTGAAGATGAACCTGTGATACAACTTCGCCAATCTAGAGTTCTGCACCCTGTAGATAAGAGAACTTCTTCAGGTGTCCTAAGAGAAGCAAAAAGTGTGAGTGCATCAAAGGCGTCGAAGTCGTCAAAGGCAGCTTCATCTAAGAAAGCTTATAGTCAGGAGCAACATGCCTTGGATTGGAAGACGGACCTTCTTGTACTGCCAGGAGGTTTTATTGCTCCTTCTGATGACACTCCAAAGAACTTGGAGTCTCCTGCAAGCAGAGACAGGATAGCTTCTTGGAAGAAACTCCCATCTCCTGCCAAAAAAGGTCCAAAGGAAGTCATTGCTCCCAAGGAGCAGAATGATAATAAGATTGAAACCTTGAAAAGGAGAGGAGCTTCTGATGTAGATCTGGCTGCTATGAAGCTTCAGGAGCTTCCTCCTGCAAAAGAATCACAAGAACAATCTTCTAAGCATCAACACAAAGTTTCTTGGGGTTACTGGGGAGATCAACCAAATGTTTCTGAAGAAAGTTCCATAATATGCCGCATTTGCGAGGAGGAGGTGGCCACCTCAAATGTGGAAGATCACTCAAGAATATGTGCAGTAGCTGATCGATGTGATCAGAAGGGCTTAAGTGTTGATGAACGTCTTGTAAGAATTGCTGAAACGCTGGAGAAGATGACAGACTCCTTTGCTAATAAGGACATCCAACACCTTGGGAGCCCAGATGTTGCTAAAGTATCAAATTCAAGTGTGACTGAAGAATCTGATGTTCTATCTCCTAAACTAAGTGATTGGTCCAGGAGAGGTTCAGAAGACATGCTTGATTGTTTTCCTGAAGCGGATAATTCCGTTTTTGTGGATGACCTTAAGGGTTTGCCTTCCATGTCATGCAAAACTCGCTTTGGTCCTAAGTCTGATCAAGGAATGACAACATCATCTGGAGGAAGCATGACTCCTAGATCTCCTTTATTGACGCCAAGAACTAGTCAGATAGACTTGTTATTGTCAGGCAAGGGTGCTTTTTCTGAGCAAGAGGATCTTCCACAGGTATTTTTTGACCCAGTTTTCAATTCTGAAAGACTTTCCTGCTTTTACAGCTGTTGAATTACATGCTTTGATTGCTATGTACTTTTATATGGCCAATACAACTGGTATGCTTTTTTATGTTTAATTTTCCAATTTATAGTTTTTCCTTGACCTTTCCTCCACACCCAGCATTCCTCCTCTTCTTGTTCTATTCTTCTTTTTGGTTGTTTACGTTATAGTTAATCATATGAAAGGCATTGTTGTAGCCTTTGTTGTAAGTCAACTGGAATTTATTTCAATTCAGTTGTTGTCAATAGAAGGCTGTTATGTGCCTGCATTAGATCGCTAATGGTACTCATACAGATAGTTTAGACAGTAGGAGCCAGTCTATACGGTGCAGATACATTATTTATCTGCTTTGAAGAGTATGGGTTTTGTTGTCCTAAGTTGTTGCTTGTTAAAATCTAGCTGGCAGTGGTGTGTATTGGTTTTACTATGGCAGTATTAAGTCTTAATTCCTTTTGGATCATGCAGATGAATGAACTAGCTGATATTGCAAGATGTGTAGCAAACATGCCATTGGTTGATGATCGTTCCATACCATATTTACTATCTTTTCTTGAGCACTTGAGACTTGTCATAGACCGCAGAAAATTTGATGCACTTACAGTAGAAACATTTGGGGCGCGTATTGAGAAGCTGATTAGGTAAGTATGTTGCTCCTGGTTATTTTTAAGATTATAAGGATGCAGTAGATACACTGGGGAAAGTAAATTTTAGCATATGATGAAAACTTTGCTGAACAATCTTGTGGAGAATTTGAACTTTGAGCAAAAGGTTCTTATTGAGTTTGTTGTTCTTTTCTTATTTAGTAATCAATTTTAAAATGTAGGGAGAAGTATTTGCAGCTTTGTGAGTTAGTGGATGATGAAAAGGTTGATATAACAAGTACCATCATTGATGAGGATGCTCCTTTAGAGGATGATTTGGTTCGTAGTTTGAGAACTAGCCCTAATCATTCGTCTAGGGACCGTACCTCCATAGATGATTTTGAGATAATAAAGCCAATTAGTCGTGGAGCATTTGGGCGTGTTTTCTTAGCTAAAAAGAGAACAACAGGAGATCTTTTTGCAATAAAGGTACCTGAGTTTGATTTTCTTTCCCTAAACTCTTTTTCCTTAATGAATATAATATGTTTTTTTAATTATTTCTAAAATCAGTTTATGTTACTCTCTTAATCCTGTTTTATGAAGCAGCTGTCTCTTAATCTTTTAGATGCTTATCATTTGTTTGTTTCATATTTGTTGGTTCTTATGGTGTTTACATCATGTGAAAGTGTAATTACTTAAAAGGTAACTTTGGTGTTATGATGCTATCAGGGCACTTTTTCTTTCTTAGAAACTTTTCATTCTTTCATTCCTGAATGTATATCAAGAGATTTTACCAAATTTGGTAACTCTCTATAGAACTGTGATCTGGATCACTCAAACATGTGTTCTAGCAAATCAAGTTGGAAAGAGATTTATGCTTAAAGAACTTGATTTTCAGTAAATCGTTTTATAAAAACTGCTGAGTAAAGTTGTATTCTTCTCTTTAACTGTGCATTATTTATATACTACCTATTGAATTAAGTTTCGGGGTACCCCTGGTATTTCAAAATCTCGAGGTCCATTGTCCAAATTTTCCCATTTTCTGTGCCCATTTCTGTCATTTTAAATATTTTTTAATCTTAGTTTTTTGGTTTGTCAGAGAAAGAGAGAGAAGGAGTGAAAAAGAAAGAAGAGAGAGGAAGAAGAAAAAAAATAAAATTATTCTTCCCTCCTTTTGCTGATATTTTCTTAAATAGATCATAATTTTTATTAATTTGAAAGAAACACCAACTATAACATTTGAGTGATCAATGTGTATTTTAAAGATAAAAAAAAGGCAAAGAAAAGAGAAAGAATAAGAAAAAGGCAAATAAAAGGGTTTTGGGCTTTTTTTTTTTGGGGTGCATTGTGTGTTTAGTGAGAAAACATGATTTTGGACCTTTTACCAGATGAATGTGTTGGATCTTTTTCTTAATTTATCCTTTTTTTCCTCCATTTTTTAGTTTTCTTGCCTTTTTTTTTCTTAAATGTTTTCCAAAAAAAAGTTATGATTAATTATTAATTTTGAAAAAAGTATATTATCAAGTGTACACATTGGGTCTATCAATTTGTATATTTTTAAAGTTGAGTAAAACGTTTTAAGTTTTTGGGTAAACGAAAGAAAAAGATAAGGCAGAAAGAACAGAAAATTAAATAAAAGTAAATGAAAAAAATTGTGAAAATTGTTTTATTCAATTTTTTTCTCATTTTTCATTCCCTTTGTTTCTTCTTTTTTAATTATATATTTTCTCTAGAAAAGGCTATAATCTAAAGTAATTGGCACAAAAATACCAAATGTAAAAGTTCATAGAAGTGTTTTTGAAATGAGAAAAAAAAAGTGAAGCCCAGGGAATTTTTTTAGTTTAATTTTATTTTAAATTTCCTGCTTTCTCTCGTCATATGCTTTGTTGAAGCCTTTTTATCTAATTTCTATATCCTGTTCTTAAGGAGGGCTGTGTTTTATATTTTTATATTGTAAGCATATAAGTCTCGTTTGTGTGAAAGGCATATCTTGCTTTGGTTTTATTCTGGCATCCCTCTAAATTTTCTCGTATCATGTTTGAGTTCCTCATATCAGTTTCATTGTTCTCTGTAGTTAGCTTGTTGCTGAGAGATGAAGGGGAATCAATTTTTCGAATTAAAAACATGTTTATGCTGTTTGGTACAGGTTCTAAAGAAGGCAGATATGATTCGCAAGAATGCAGTTGAAAGTATATTAGCAGAGCGTGATATTTTGATTTCAGTTCGCAACCCATTTGTGGTGAGTGGGTCTAGCTTGCAAAGATTTACCTTCCTTGAGAACTTGTTATCATACTATTACATTAATGTGCTGTATCAGGTTCGATTCTTCTATTCATTCACTTGCCGTGATAACTTGTATCTTGTGATGGAGTATTTAAATGGAGGAGATTTGTATTCGTTATTGAGAAATTTAGGCTGCTTGGACGAAGAGGTTGCTCGTGTATACATAGCGGAAGTTGTAAGTATTGGTTTAATCTGTTCCTTATATATATCTTGGGTTATATTCGTGGAATTCCCTTTCTTTGTTATGTAAAGTATATATTTATATATACATATTCTTACAGGTGCTTGCCTTGGAATATTTACATTCTCTCCATGTGGTTCATCGTGATTTGAAGCCTGATAATTTGTTAATTGCACATGATGGTCATATCAAGGTAACAGTTAATATGACCTTCCTTGATTCCCTTCTTTTGTCAGATATTAGGAGATATACATTGCTTGATTATTGTTACTCAGTCTGTTGTTTTCGGAAGTTCTAACTGCACAGTTATTTACAGTTGTAATCTTTTTTCTTTTGGACGGAAGCCAAATATCATCTTTCTATTTATTATTTAATGAGAGTTGTAATGCGAAATATCTTCTATTGTTTTGTCATAATTTATGAAATTTATTGAGATCACAATGGCAAGATGAGGTGTGTGTTTTACAGTATTGGCTGAGTAGGGAAAAAAAACTCATCATGTTAAAAGGTGAGATGTTATTGAGTGGTCAAGGGAATACCTACATATGCCTACAAGATGATAGTTTGTTGAGCAAATGAGTGTACCTTAACAGGAATGTGGCATCAAGATTACTTCTTTGGTATTAAATTTTGGACCTTTCATTTTTTTTTTAATATCCCCTTTTAAACTTATAGTAAAATTTCCCATTTGAGCAGTTGACAGATTTTGGGCTTTCAAAGGTTGGTCTCATCAACAGCACTGATGACTTATCTGGTCCAGTAGTTAGTGGAACATCTCTACTTGATGATGAGCAGCCTCAATTATCTGCAACTGAGCATCAGCAAGAGAGGCGGAAGAAACGTTCTGCTGTGGGAACACCCGACTATTTGGCACCAGAGATTCTTTTGGGAACTGGACATGGTTTGTATAGCCCTTTTTAATTTAAGGTGCTTTAATTATCTTTTCATCATCTGTTTGTCTTAAAGGTCAAGTTAGATTAAAATTTGGTCAACCTGAAAAGCATATGCCCCTAGAGCTTAAGCAACTTGGATCCAAATTTTTTAGTTAAATAATAGATTTTGTGACGGATATCTTGGTTATAATTAGCTCAAAACTTATTGGTTGCTGATTAATGTCTACGTCTTTGTTTCTACCTGATAAGCTTATGCATTTCATTCTTTTGTTGATCATATTTGAAAGCAGTAAGTTCACTGTAACATTCAATTTTCCTCAGGTGCAACGGCGGATTGGTGGTCTGTGGGTGTCATTTTGTTTGAACTGATTGTTGGCATTCCACCGTTCAATGCAGAGCATCCACAGGTTGTATCTTGATTCTATGCATTCTAGTTGTTCTTGGTACTGATTGTTCTGCTCCCTTTGACTCTTTCTTCTTGTGCATTATATTTCCTTTCAACATGTGCATTTTTTTTTTCTGTACTCTTATTCTGTTGGTCCATTATTTGAAGTATATCAACTTTTTTTTTTCCAGATGATTGTTTGAGATTTATAGTGCTCTCAATATATGAATGTGTGGTTGCACTGTTAGATCATAGTTATCTTTCCTACTTCGTACTTTTAGATCTCTATATCTCCTCTTCTCTTTATTCAGTTCTTAAATTTTAATTTCCACCTAATGATGAGTTTCTTTTAATCCAGATTGCATTGAAAATGAGGTGTTGGAAAACTGAAACTATTTCTAAATTAGTAACAGGAGTTGTTGTTAGGTGTCTGGTTAATGCTCTTCAATAAGGATAGGAAAATCAATTATATCTTTGACTAACAACACCCAATCACCATGCTCGGTGCTATTACCTTCATAATTTTGTTGTGGTAATGGGTGAATTGGAAGACATAAGCTTTATATCAATTGATGGGTATGATTTCTGAGTTTGGAGTCAGATTTTACTTTCTTGGCAGGGATAGAACTGCCAAGGCAATAATGGAAATATGTTGAAAACTTAAGATAATGTTGGTCTTTTCTTGCACCTAAGACAATTATAGGTTATATGTATTTTTTGACTTAGTCAAAACTGCACAGTTATCGTGGTGCATTTACTCACTTCCAGGTAGTTTTGGGACTCTGGACTCTTGGCCCAGCAGGAAACTTGCTAATCTTTTTATTTGTTCAAAATACTTGGATACTTTAATATTGATGTTGCGTTAAGGGTTTCATTTTCTTTTCTTTTTTTGAGAATTCTAAAGTTAAATTTAATTAGTAGGTGGCATGGTGCATTGCTATATATAACAATAAGGTTCACCCCATATAGTTCATTTGAATCTTATTTTACCTGGATGTAGCTGTTAAAATTCTTTAAAGAATGTTTTCTTTTTAAACTTTTTTCTTTAAAATGCTGCTAAAATTGTTGGTGTGCCATCCACTCTGTAATTTGCATGTTAAATTATATCTCATTCTTACATTACTTTCTTCCACATTTTGGTTTTAGACAATATTTGATAATATTCTCAACCGTAAAATACCTTGGCCACGGGCACCTGAAGAAATGAGCCTGGAAGCAAAAGATCTAATTAATCGGTAAGAAATTTGTTTTTTTTTTTTATGTGGTATTGGTATTTCATGAGAATTTTATGCATGTTGAAATAAATGACAGTTGTAATGAAAAGAATGAGTCTAAGTAGTTTCATATAACATTATTTTGTGGGCATAACGTTGTTATGTTGTCTATGACAACATTTTCTGGTGCATGAATGGTTTGCAAAGAGAGCTGTACTATATTTGCTTTATGGCTTGACTAAAAGAGAGGTTTCAGTCCTGTGGACTTATAAAAGAAAGCTGTGAACAATGTTGAGAAAATATAAATCTCATTACGATAACAATGTGTGTGCGCTGATGTGTATAGATGCATCCCCATATGTTTGGAATTGTTGCTTTCATGTTTGTGATGGGGACAGATCTACCTTACAGAAGATATGTTCTTGTGTCTTGAGTTTTGAAAAAAGTTGTGTTTGATTTTCATGTCTGTGACTGATGCAGTGAGATACTGCTGCATCATCTTAATTTTTGCTATTGCTATCACACATGATATTTGATGAAACCTTTATTCTATATTCCTCTATAATTTTGCTTATCTAGAAGTTTCTATGTTCTGCATTTTGAAGTTCATCTATAGATTCCATTAGTATCTTTAAACACTAACCATACGCTAGATATTATGTTCCAATGATTGATTTTAGTCTTTAATAACTTCATATGTTAAGGACCTTGTGTGTTTAGCACCATCAATGCTCTTTTTCTTTTAAAACAGAAAACTTTTAATTTTTTGAGTTTTATTGGCCCTTGCGTTTGGCAACATGAATTCCTTAACTTTGTAAATATTTTCTCAATAAAGTAAACTACATCAAGACGTTTTAACCAAGGGTTCTTCGAGGTCACTAGTACCAAGCTTAAATGAGTTTTAGGAGTCTCTTAGTTTAATGCTCTTTTCATTTGAGTATTTTTCTTGCTTCAAGTGCCTCGCTGTGGACTCAAAAGTTGCTTAATATATTCAATTTCCAGACTCTTGACAGAAGATCCCCATCAGAGACTTGGAGCCAAAGGAGCATCAGAGGTGATATTGGTTCTTAATATAAGTACAAGTTTTGGGTTTTTTCCTTTTTTTATATATCTTTGGGTATATGGTTTTCATAATTGCCTTAAATGTTTGAATTACTAATGATAAAATTGTAATACAGGTGAAGCAGCATGTATTTTTCAAAGATATCAATTGGGACACCCTTGCAAGGCAAAAGGTGTGAATGTCTTTCCATCAATTATGAATTCTGCACCATCTAACCTTTTTAAGGAGTCTTATATTTACTCAAACCATGTTTTTGCACATTTTACAGGCCGCTTTTGTTCCCACTTCAGAGAGTGCACTTGATACCAGTTACTTTACAAGTCGCTACTCATGGAATACTTCTGATGACCATGCATATCCTGGTAGTGAGTTTGATGATTCCAGTGATGCTGATAGCTTAAGCGGCAGTAGTAGTTGCCTGAGCAACCGCCAAGACGAAGTGGTATCTTAACCCCAGAAATTTGCAGTTTCATAAATGATGATTTTCTATGATATGTGGTGTTGACTTTCTGTTGAACAAAAATGAAACAGGGAGATGAATTTGGAGGCATGGCTGAATTTGAGTCTGGTTCATCTGTCAATTATTCTTTCAGTAATTTCTCATTTAAGGTATTCTTTTACCTAGTAAGAATGCATCAAGAATTTTTGTTTTAGTTTGGATTTAAGTGCTTTAGTTGCTTTTAATTGTTGCTAGCATGGCACTTAGAGACAGATTTTAATTTTTTTATTTTATTTTTAAGTTTTCAAATTCCTTTCTTTCTATTTATTATTTGTCCTATTGATGCTGCCTTCCTCCAGCACTTTGTCATATGTATACTTATACATTCCCACATAAAGTATAGTGGGCTTGTTAAAAATGTCCATCTTGGCCTGCATATGAAAGACAGTTTGCAACATTCTTAATAGATAAATTTAGTAAGCAACAATGTATCCTGTCCTGCAATATGCCGTTATTATTGTAGTTTTGATTGATTTAAAGCTGTATGGTGATTTGTGTCAATTTGCAACTTAGCTGCGTCAATTTGATGGTCATTGTGCTTCTCCTCTGGACTGTAATATTTTTGTATTTAGTTTTTCTTGATCAAGTTTTGCTGCTATTTCCTCACTCTCTTTTTCATTGTGGTTGTTAGAATCTCTCCCAGCTCGCATCAATTAACTATGACCTGCTGTCTAAAGGTTGGAAGGATGATCATCCAGCAAATTCTAATGCATAGGAAGCTCCTCTTCTTTGTGAGAGCTTGGTTTTTTGACATTAGATTGATTTGGCATATTTAAGGAGCCTCATCACCTGTGTTGTTTGTATACCCTGTACATGTATGTCATTTGAAGTCTCTACAACTTGTGTTTTCTTCGAATAAATATATTGTACCGTTAAGTAAGTTGATATGGTGTTTTCACCCTTGCAGAGATAGAAGAAAACTTGGGATTGAAACTGCTTCGGGATGTGCCTTTTAATAGGTAACCAGTCTACACTCTGGGATTTCAAATTTACTGTGCAGCTGCTTAGATCCTGAAGACCTTAGTGTACCCTGATTTTACATGCCACAGTGTTGGTTTCTGGTGTTTTGGCCAATGGTGTAATTTGTGATTTTTTATTGTTGTGTTTTTTTCTGCATAGTCTTCAGAGCAATGAAACCACATCCCTTATGTTCAATTCAAAAGTGTTTTTTGGCTCTTTTAAGAATGGTCCAATGCTTCCAACAATTTATAACCATGCCTTGGTAGGTTGGAAAATGGGAGTTGTAATTACTATATAACATTAGGTGGCCTTAAATTTTGCATTTAATATTTGGCTCTCAAAAGTTTTGCCCTGATATCTGTTGAGTCACAGGATTAGGCCATTGTATAAGTTGTAAGATTGTACTTTGTAGTCAAATATCTGATGGAATGAAATATAAATTGCTTCTGTTGTTGCAATTACCACCTCTATTTATTTGCCTAGTCTCTTGTCACTCATCTCTCTTTGCAAAGCCTTCACCTTTTCCAGTTGGTAAGGTTAGCACATTCAGATGGTTTTACAGTTTGATTTTAAGTTAGTTGTTAGTATGTGAAGTTCTTATTGTTCATATATCCTTTTGAGATTTTGTATATAGAAATTTTTATGGCATGTGGATGCAGGAATTTTTTTTTTTTTTACTAAATAACGCATACTTAAATTAACTCAAACTCGACAGGTTCGAAATAGAATCGAATGAGTTCATAAGTTAATCCGAACTTTAATTTATTTAAATTTTATTTAAAGGTAATAAATATGACACAAATTATCACTTTATTATTATCTTTAAAAGTCAATAAAAATATAAAAGCACATTTTTCTTTCTCTTTATTTCAAACTTGTGTATAATATTGGTTAATTGCAACATCTTTATTCTGTGATGAAAGCGGGTGTAATATTGTATATAATAGATTCTTTCTGCTATTATCATTAAATTTAATTTTTGCAATTATACTCATATAAGCTAAATTAGATTGGACCAATGATTCAATCGAATCGAATACGATTAAGTAAAACTATTCATTAAATCTATTAGTTTAAAAAGTTTGGTCTAATTGATTTATTTGGTCGGTTTTCGATTTTAAATTTTTTGAATCGAATTGAGCAAATGTGCAAATTAATATTATATATATATATATATATATAATTAGGAGAAGGAAGATTTGAACCTTGCTCTTTAGGTAGGGGAATAGTGCATCAATTAATGAGTCAAATGTTCAAGTGTATATATATTATTTTTTAATTTTTAAATTTATATAAAAAATATATATCTTCATTACTAAATTACAGCTAAGTGAGGACAAAAGTTATTTTTTTTATATATTTAGATTATTAGTATATTTTATAATTATGGATGGAGTTTATAAATTTTAACATTATAATTTACAAAAAAAGGTGATAAAATTTTGATCCTTTTGAATCAAAATCGAATTGATTAAACCAATTCGATGTTTGATCAGTTTTGATTCTTTGCTATGTTTGATCGATTCTAGTTGATTTTTGAAGAATATTTAGCCAATTTGATATTTAAGTATGACAATGCCAAATTATGTAAAATGTTGATTTTGAATTATTTGGCTCCTAGTTCCACCAACTGTGGTCTATATAAAGTTTTAAATAAATGAGATACTTAATTCACATTGATTGAAAGTATTATCTTTTTTCAATATATATATATATATATATATATATATATATTTAACTTTCAAAATTTTACAGATGTCAAAATAATCCAATTAGACACATTGGATTAACTTAAAATTTGATATGCATAATTTATAAGAACAGAGTATGTAATCCAATGATTGGATCAAAAAAATATATTAATCCTTTTTTTCTATAAAAATGAAAGAAGAAGAAGACAAAAAGTGGATACTAGTTTGCATCTCAACATCCAATGGATGGTCCAGCCCAGCCTTATAAATTAGCCAAAAGACTCATACCCTCTATCATGCAAATTTATGTTGCAAATTGCTCAACTCATTGATGGAAATTAACATAATTAATAAGCTGAATTTTCAATTTAGTCCTCAAACTTTATTAGCATTTTGGACTTAAAATCTCTCTATTATTATTTGTATTAAAAAATTATTAATCTTGATTCAATCGTTAATATTGTTAGAGTTTTTGTTAAATATGCTGATGTAGTATTTGTTTATTTTGATCGTATGTTGATTATGTTGACTTATGCTGAAATGATTATGGTGTAATATTAGTTGTGTTGATATGATGTTGATTAAAAATTATTTTTTTTATTTTTATTTGTTAATATTTTTGAAAAATTAAAAATATATTGTTATTGTTATTAAATCCCTAAAAATAAGAAATGGAAATCATTTTTTTATTTTATTAAAAATTCAAAAAAAATAAAACTAACTTTTTATGGAAATATCTGAAAGTAAATAAATAATTTTTTATATTTTTTTAAAATTATGAAAAATTCAAAAAGAAGAAATAGTTTTTAAATTTTAAAAAATCCTGAAAATAAAAAAGAATACTTTTATTTTTCCAAAAATATACCTTTTTTATTTTCATAATTTAATAAAAATAAAAAACTATTTCTTTTCTTTTCTTTTTCAGAATTTTTAAACAATTTAAACTTATTTTTTAATTTTTAAAATTTCTAAGAATAAAAAAATGTTTTTATTTTTTAAAATTTAAAATTATTTCTGTTTTTAAAATTTCAAGCGTAAACATTATTTTTTTGGTTTTCTTTAAATTTTTTAGAATTTTTTAAAATAAATAATTTTCTTAATCTTTCACAATTTTTAAAATTAAAAAATTATTCTGTTATTTTAGATTTTACTTTTAAAAAATAAAAACATTATTCTATATTTATTTTTTGAATTCATAAAAATATATTTTTATTTTAAATAAAAATATAAATTATTCTATTTTATAATATTTTTAAATTTTAAATTTAAAAAAAATTAAAATTTATTTTTAATCGATTCCAACTCCACATCCACCAAGGTGATAAACGTCACGTCAAATATCAATTAACATAGTTAATATTATGTCAATATATATTAATAATTAAACTGATATTAACAATTTTTGAAAGTTGACACAGATGATGATAATAATAAAGGGACTAAATGTAACATTTTGGTATTTTATTTGTAGGAGACATACATATAAGTTTGTGCAAAGTAAGATTGATTCAATTCACTTACCAAAAATTGAATATAGCATTAACTAAAATGCAAGATAAAATACTTTGGCTTTCAATACCTTTGGTGCTGTGGCTACAACCTAAGCTACTAAAACAACACTATTTATCCCCGATGCTTTTTTCTTTTCTCGTTATTCTTAAGGATGTCAATCCATATCTTATAATTGAGTACTCTACATTACTCAATCCGATTAAGCAAGATTAGAATACTTTATAATTGAGTTTGGATATAATTCGGATAGTAAAACTACCACGTGTCACAATTTCTAGTAAGATTTAAGTAATGATATTAAGATGCTAATTATCCAAACTCAATTATAAACAATGATTTTTACTATTAAATTTTAACTTTATATATTGTTTTTCGTTTGTAAAATTTCTATAATTAATGCAATACTTGATAAAATCCATTAATTGTTCTGAATATGATTTTAAATTTAATTTTTCTTAATAATAGAATTATTTTAAATATATTTAATGCGTATGAACATTTAAGGGATAGCATCTAAAACATTCGGGTACGGATTTGAATGAAAAATAAAAAAATTAATAAAATATTTGTAAGACATTGCATTCTGTCATAGTAGAGAAATTCTAGTAGGAACAAGGGACATGAAAAGAGTCCCATCCGTTGGTAGATAACAATTATTGGTCCGTGGTGTAGTAGGACTGCCCAATTTTTGTATTATTCCATCAAAAGGCCATTTCGTATTCATCTTAATTCAAAACCCCTTTGGATGAAAGACAATGAACAAGATAAGGGATCCCATGTTGGGAAGAATGGTTAGGGTAATGTAGTGTGGATAACTCTCGGCTACTTCTTCTATGACTCCCACCCTTCATTAAGGCTTTGGATGCCAACAAAGTTTTTAGGCATCAAAATGGGTGATAGGACAGACAATTAGGACCACCATTTGAGAATGAGAGCTTGCTTTTCTTGCAGTTTGGTCCACATAAAGCTTCCATCATCATCACTGTCACATACTCCTTTCTCACCTCTCAACAACCTCTCATAACATTGCCACCCATAAGAATCAACACTTCTTTATTCTCTCATCATTCTTTACTTACCCATCTGTGTTCCCTTGGTAATTTCTTGTTAACAATGGCAAATCTCGTGTTCACCAGAGACATCACAACCGACCTTTTAAAGCAACCAAAAACAGCCAGGTCTACACAGATCAAAAGCGAAAAAGCTGAGAAAAAGTAAAAGCAAAAGTAATAATTACAACCACCAAGATCCACCCAATCCACCCAACAAGAACATATGGAAAGGTATCCACCTCAAAGTATAAATGAAAATGGAAAAGAAAAGAACTGGTACAATGGGAATTAGGGGGGGAAATGAAAAAGATGAAAAGCCAGTTGGCACCTAATAAAGGAACATTAGACGGAGGTCAAGCACACAACAAGACCACCACCAAACTTAACATGCTAATTATGGACACAATAAAGCAGGGCGAGGGATAACCCATGTAGCAGTCGGAGTCTATGGTACGGTGGTCGGCCTGAGCTAACTCATCGAGAGTCAGCTGCATCATTGACCTTATCAGGCTGTGCATCCAGTTGTTCTGGCAAACTGGAACGACGTAGTTCCTCAATTCGCATTGTCACTTGAGACATGGAGGGGCGTCTATCAGGGTATTGAGCAGCGCAATCTACTGCAAGTTGCAAGAGTTGAACCATCTCTTCCTCCACATTCTGATACCTGAGGAGCTCAAGATCAAAAACCTCAGAAGTCCATTCCTCCCGAACAACAGACTGTACCCATCTTGGGAGGTCTATTCCTTCCTCATTCAAGACCGAATGCGTGGGGGCTTTCCCAGTTAATAGCTCCAAAAGCAACACACCAAAGCTGTAAACATCAGCCTTTTGCGATACTTTGCGGGGGTCAGTCACCTCTGGTGCCCGGTATCCAGCCACTCTATTGGGAGTGGAGGAAGGCCCTACCAGGTGCGCTAGCCCAAAATCAGAAACTCGAGCACCATAGGCCTTTGTGAGGAGGATATTTGACGATTTTATGTTTCCATGAGACACGTTAGGGCCTTGAGAGTGCAGGTATTCAATTCCACGGGCAGCTCCAAGAGCAATTCCAGATCTAATGTCCCAGTTCAGTGGAGTCCTTCCTGCTCCTTTGTTCCCTAAATCCCACAAGTTAAAAAAGTAAGAATAATGAAAGAAAAATTAAGCCTACATACAGCACTATCACTCCAGAGACTATGATGGAATCTCCAGAAATAGCTGAAAAAT